CTCCTCTAAGAAGGGACTCTATGCATTGATCAGGAGTCATGGAATCTATTATGCGAGCAAATAACTTTGAGGCCGTATGGACTGACTCTGGGAGGACTGAAATGCTCTATAGGGCTGGGATTCAGGGCTCATCACTTAAATCCCAACATGCAGATTTTTGTGATGGCTGCATAATTGAGGGGCACTGCTGCTTTGGGACTGGGGATATGGAGTCAGGTAGAGGTACTCTGAAGACAATTTTACCTTGGAACCGAAGGATAAGTCTGGGGCTCAACTAAGGACAAACTTGTTCTATCTCCTTTAACCCTCTTCCTGAGAGCTGATATGATAATGAAAATGGTGAGTGCGGTCAGAGGAGGACACAGAAGAGTTACAGGAGAAAGTCTTAGAAAGAGAGTTCAGCGGATGGAGAAGCGGATGAAGAGTTCACTGGCTCCCTTTCCCTACTGGCCTGCTTCCCATGCTAAGAATGGCAGAGTGCTTGGGAAACGTGCAACAGGAGACCTTACTGGCCGGAATGTGTTGGGTATTTTCCACATAAGCATCTTTGCTTAAGGCAATTTTGCTGTAAAAGATAAAGCCACAAAAAATAAAAGAGGAAGATTCATTTAAAAGGACATAATGAAACATGGAAAATAATAAAATTGAAAAGTCTTTATCATGAAATTCAAAATATTTGAATACATTAAAATGTATGTAGATGCAGGGCACGTGGGTGGTTGAGCATCCAACTTTGGTTCAGTTCATGATCTTATGATTTGTGAGTTCAAGGCTCACATCGGGCTTGCAGCTATCAGCAAAGAGCCTACCTCGGATCTTCTATCCCCCTCTCTCTGCCCCTCTCTCGCTTGTGCTCCCTCAAAATAAATAAAACATTTAAAACATGTATGTAGATTCATTTGTATGTAGATGTAACTGATTTTATTTTGTGAATTGTACCTAAGTACTTGTTTTCGAAGTCCTTCATTCATAGTGTTACTTTTTTTTGCTTGTTGATAGGTCTCCTCAGCACATGCTTTTTTTTTTTTTTGCTACATCTTCCTTTGTTAGGAGAGGTAGTTTACAAATACTAGGATGCATATTTGTAACTGAGTTTTGTATTGTGTCATGAAAACCTTCTACAATGTTGTTTTTGGCGTATTGCTCTTGACATATTGTCACATGTCTATTAACAGATGCCCCAAAGTGCTATGGGTTCACAACTCCCCACCACTGCATAGGCCATTATGAGAGCTAAGACTGACATAGTATGAAAATGGGAATATTTGTCGATGGAGAAATGAAACCAAACTGGCAACCGGTTGATGAAACCAACAAACTGTTAAACCAAACTGTCAAGTTTGTTTGTTTTTTTAATCTTATAGGGCAAAATTCCCTAATAGCCAATTAGCTATGTGGTGAAAATGTTTGCAGCAAAAATACTTGTGGCAAAGATGCCTGTGGTAAAGGTGCTTATGGCAAAAGGACTTGGAACTGGCTGGGAGTTGCCTTAAGAAAGGAGAATGGTTTGGGGTCGAGTTCTTTCCCATCAGATGGACTCCTCATTCTTAAAGATCTAGCTCAACATCTAGTGGAGGGTGGAAAGTGTTTAGCAGGGCAGGCTCTGGAGTCAGACTAGTTCACGTCCCAGCCCCATCACTAACCACTGCTATGACCTTTGGTCTGTTGCTTAGCCTCTCCAAGCTGCTGATCCTTTATGTGAAATAGGGTTAATGAAAGTACGTAACTCTTAGGGCTGGTGTGAGAGTTAAAGGTAATCCCCAGAGCCTTGCGTATACAAATCAAAATAGGTTACTGTAACTATTTCTTTATGTCATGGCCTCCCTTAGTAGATAGGGAGCTCCTTTAACACAGGTCAGTTTTTTTGTTTTTTCATTTTTATACCCCAAGTAAATAGCATCTAGCACCCAACAAAGCCCTTAATAATGTCACCTATGTGTAATCGGATCATATCTCAAGGTGGGATTTCCAGATATTAAGTTGTCAGAGTCACCAGGAAACCATGAGGACTTAGCAAAATTACTTTCCCTCCTGTTCCTTTCTCTCCACCACTGCAGGTCCTCAAGTCAAAATTTTGTGCAGATTTACCTGATTTGAAGAGAGATTTCTGCTTTTCTGTGTCTAGACAAAGAAGTTAAGCTGTATTTAGCTGCCTATTTTAATGTCAGATTTGCCCCTGCCCCCCCCCCGGTTATATGCATTAAACAGCTCTGCTCTGACAGCTTGTTGTAAACTTAACTGATCTGTTGGTTTTTCTCCTCCTTGACCCAACCTAACAGATAATTTCATGTCTTGCAGACCAAACAATTGGTTGACTCAATAGGGTAAAACAAGTCAACTGCTTAAAAAATTTTAAACAACTTATGCAGTGACGTGCCTCACATTGCTTTATTGTCTCATATTTGATATTTAATTGTGTTTATTTTACTTTAAGTTAAAGCTGGTGTGGTCTAAAAAGTACTAAGAGCTTTTAAAAGGTTGAGATTAGATCTCAAAAGCAATTTTACTAAATATGTACTGCAATATGAAATTATTGCTTACCAAGTATTTTGTGAGGATGATTTTATGAAATACATGAACACGCTTTTGCATAAGAAAAAGAGTCATAAAATCAAGGAAGCTATTAATTTTTCTTTTAACGTATTGCTTATAGAGACTGATCTATGATACTTGAAGATATATTTATTCCCTAAGATTCTACTGAAGATAAATGGCTTGCTTGGTCTGTTGAGTTGGCCTACCCTAAGGCAAAGGTCTATCAGTCAGGGGTTCAGAAAGAAAAGAGGGAAAGAGGAGCCAGATGCTTTGATGAGAGACGCAGAAATTAATCTTTTGATATGTCACATAACTGGAAATGATTCAGCAATTGGACAATAGAGTTGTCTCTTTTATTAGTACACTCAAACAGCAGCAAAAAACAACCTTCCATTTGATTCTTACTGAGATTTATTGTTTTTAATAATGCCACTTTTCAGAAGTATAGTCATGTGCTCACTTAGACAGGCTGACAAAGTGAAAACTTGTATGTGATGCAAAGTACCCTTTGGGTGTAGATTAAGACATATATAGTGCAGTGACAAGTCAAGTCAAATGCCCACAGCAGACAACAAATCCCAGCCTCCCTTTCCCATGATCTGGCTCCCATTTTGCACCATAGAACCCACAATGGAAATCTGGCAAAACATAGAACACAGATGGCTACCAACTGACATGAAAAGTAAATTTTATTAAACATGTTTACATACATGAGTTGTTCATTTTAAAAGCACAGGGGAGTGTTAAGACAAGTGGTCAAAATAGAAAGGTACTACCCAATTATAATTAGTTGATTGTTGGCCACTAAGACAGAACGGAATCTAGTAGAAGTGCACCAATGCTTCAGTTCTTCCTGCTCAGCATGGTGAGTAGTGGTCAATCTGTGCCCTGTGGAATGATGGGCAGATAATTCTGGCATGTGTAAATAATAATAAATAATTCACTTGGTGCAGGCAGTATGTCTATGGATTAAAACCTAGTGTGTACACAGTGTCTACATGTGTTACAGCCCCACAGTAGGAATCTACACCAAAATATTTATTAGAAGGAATTTGGTCCATACTACATCACGTTTTCCAGAGGGTAAAAAATAAAGTCCATCTATAGACATTTCACACCAAACTCACATACAGAGTCTGGCTAAAACCTGCAAAATGTCTATAACAAAAATGGATGGCTTAGATTTCTTGGTTATTTCAGTATAGTAATTTACGAGCAAACTGTACAAGTACATGCAACATACAAGCTGTCCTAATGTGGAACTAACATACATTATTAAATAACCTTTTGGGTTTTTTTTCCTTTTTTTAAAAAAAAAAATGTGCATGCAGCTTTGAACAGTTCCAAGTCATGCTGCTCTATTTGTGTGATCACAAAAGTTGAATGACTCATAAAAGGAGGGAGAACGTATCAATGCACCTGCAGAGTCTGCAGTTTGTAGCACATATACAGAATGTCACAAGGGAAATTCAAGGCCAAGAAAAACTCAGATGAAGAAAATGCAAGTTGAAATTTGACTTTGTTTAATTTTCCCCCCAAAAGTAGGATATTTTGCGTTAAAAAATCAAGCTTTGTGCTTGCATCAATCTCAAAGAAATGTAAACTAAAATTTGATAAAAACATTACTTTAGTGCAGAATATTTCAACTGGAATTTCCAGTGGAATATTGGACAGCTCATACCATGCTCTTTCCAGGGCAGATGGGTATGTCTACACTGAGACATGGCCGAGAAGCCTGGGCATAGCTGAAAGTGTCTTAGGCTCAAATCCATTTCTAGTCACCATTCTGGGAAGTCAAAAGTATAGTTTATACACATGAGCATATACTTATTTTTTGGGATATCAGGAAGAAAAAGTTATTACAAGGAGTGTTTCCAAAGTACAATTATGTGGTTAGTTTTAGTTCCCAGCATTAGTTGCAGATTGACTTCTCTAAAAGTCTTCCATGAAAAATGATGGAAAAAATAAATTAATGTTTTAGAACACAAACAGATATGCTCTTCATTTTAAAAAAGTGTTTTAGAAGATGACTTTTTGTTTTCTGGGTTTGCACACATAGGACTTTGACAAATTATAAAATGAAAGCCAGTGAAATCCTTCATTGGCCTCATCTTGCCTAGTTGCTGAACACTTCGGGGAGATGCCACAGAGACTGTTTCAGCCCTTTTTTGGTGCTTTTGGGAAAAGAAAGGAAGGGTCTTTGTAAGCATCATGAGGCCTGTCGTGACATATCCAAAAACTAGTGGAAATAACAAATACAATGAAAAATAAAGCAAAAGAAATCAAGAAACCAAAACCCAACAAATAACACACAAATAAACAAAACACACAAAAAACAAAACTTCTCAAACACCAGGGAAATAACACTGCTTGTGGTCTGTGCAGTAATGTGTAAAATACAACTTTTCAGAGTGAGAGTTTCCAGTTTGTTCAAGTGTGTGTGTGTGTGTGTGTGTGTGTGTGTGTGTGTCTGTGTGTGTATTTGAAGTTTCCTCTTTTTCTGTTTGTTAGAAGCATCAGTGACTCTCACTAGCATGTTGACTCTTACTGTAATTTGATAGACTGCCTTGTTCTGTCATATGAAGCCAGGTTTTAAACAACAAGTGGGACATATTATTGAAAAACTACTACAGGCAAAACACAAGTTGATTGTCTGTCTCCAACAATGCTTTTGATCATGAAATATCTGGTTCAGATTATTATCCTGAAAGGTAGAGTTTCACTGGAATGACTCTGGTAGGAGTTCACTATGAGCGGATGCAGGGAGGCCCAGTTGAACTTTCCAGAGATGACTGGGAAGCCCGGCGGGTTAGGGGAGTGAGTGTGGGATCCACCAGGGATGATGGTGGGAACAACTTGTACCATCCGATTACCATACTGGATAGATCGAGTTCTTCCAACAAGATTTGAGCCACACCCATAAAGCATTTATGGTCCATTCTGCCATAGTCCCCCCAGACAATGACCTGCAGAGACAGAGAAATGCAATAAAACTCGGATGTCTCTTTCATATTTGAAGAATTGAAAGAAACTATTTTGCAAAAGTGGGCCAATGAATGAGAGGAAATGAATATAACTGACACTAAGGAGGAGGAACAGATAGAAAGATATTAACATTAAGGTGCTCAAAGAGATCCTTCACAATAATTTTTAGATTAGATAGAAAGCAACTAATGTTTCCATAGTCAATGAGGGGTATTATCTACATAAACTATGATAAAGAAATACATATACATGTTTCTTTATATATACATTTAATACCTTCTTTAGAAATTACTATCTGGTAAGTAATGTACAAATCAAAATTTGTACAAGTTAGGAAGGTAAAACAATGCAATTCGGTGTATGGTGGAGTGTGTACATGATGGAGTATGTATAAAGAATGAGAATATTCATTAAATTCCTTTTATATTATATACTTGTTAGTGAAGGTTGAAAAATAATTGTAATCTGGTTCCTTTTGAGCACTTGCCTGACAATTCTGATTTGATAAGATGATTAGAATGTCAGTGAGCTTACAGGCAGTTAGCACAATGTGGGTCAACTCCTGTTGGTATCAGATAAGCATTCATTCTATTACACTTACTCTTAAGGTTCTATTTTCCAGTCCTTTGGTCATCAGGAGATGTTCTCAACTGAATGCATTCGCCTGCTTCACACAGGCAAGAGTGGTGAAACTGCCTTTTCAATTTACTGAGTGACTTTGCCAAATTATTTAATCTTTGTGATCCTCATACATAATCTTTAAAAGGGGGATAATGATATTTTATGTACACGGTAGTTAAAATGTTTAAAAGAAGTTATGTATGTAATTATGTAACAATGCATCTGACATTCACCAGTCCTGAACATTCTCTTTTTCTTTCCTTTCTTCTTTGTATCCCATGTCTGGCACATAGTAATGCTCAATAAATTATTATTATTTGCCTTGATTGTCTACCTACCTACCTACCTACCTACCTACCTACCTACCTACCTACCTATGTACCTATCAAGAAGAGGGGCTTTGGGAAGCAGGGCAAAAGCAGAAGGAGAGGATAGAGAGAAGGAAAAAAAGAAGGGAGAGAAAATAAACATTGTATTATCTATTAGATCCACTAGATATTTTTAATACTGCATATTATTTATACTGTAAATTTACTGTTTGTTTTTTCTACTCAAGGATGTTACACTGCATTTCTCCTTACTGAAATTTATTCTCTTCATGTTTGAACACTCTTCGGTGCTTATATAGATAATGTGAATATTACAATGTAAAAAGTCAAACAAACTTTTACATACCTGAAGAACTTTACCCTGTGGACTTTCGTCAAAAACCAGGGACTGTTGATACAAAGGATCAAGGGTTTTTCGTGCAATTCTTGTCTTCTTCTTGGCTATACAGGCCCCATTTTCCAAAAGATATACTTTGACGTATGGAGCTGAACAAAGGTAACATTAACATATAAGAAGTTAATCCTTCAAGTTAAACTGATTTTATTAGAGAATGCTTTATTAGAGAATTAGAGATGCTTACTGAAAGCCTTCCACTGACTATTTAAATCATTTTAACTTTTCAGTGCTCCATGAATTCTATTCCTTAAAACCCTTATGTTACCATTACTGCCATTTTCCTCATTTCAGGTAAATGTATGTGAGATTAACCTAAGATTGACTGACTTGGAGTATAGCTGGCTTTATAGTTCACATTTACTTATTTATTTCATGTTTCTATTTATTTTTAAGAGAGCACAAGCAGGGGAGGGGCAGAAAGAGAGGGAGACACAGTATCTGAAGCAGGCTCCAGGCTCTGAGCTGTGAGCACAGAGCAGGGTTCAAACTCACAAACCGCAATAACATGACCTGAGACAAAGCTGGACATGTAACTGACTGAACCCGTACAGTTCACATTATAAATATAATAATATATAAATATGATAAAAGCACATTCGTTTTTATGATTGGAATTAAAAAAATTTCCTTTTCATTTGTAAATGTGCAAAAAAACTCAATTTAATTTTATCATACTCTTACTTAGACTTTCTGACAGTATAATTGCACAAGGAAAACCCAGATCCATTTTTACAGAATCAGAGAATACAGAAAAGCTGCCTTTTTAATCAATCAGATGATGCAAAGCATATATGATTCGAATGCAACAAATATTGTGATTTTTGCTTATGTCAGATTCTCTTGTCCAAACTCAGAACCACCTTTCCTTACCAGGTGTAGACTTGGAACCAGGTTTTTGCGTGAGGCTTCGTGCTCTAATAACTTCAACTTCCAACTGGCCTTTTTTATCCTCCATTCCAATTTGTATGTCACCTGCAAGTGGAAGGGAAACAAAGTGTTTCAGCTTCTTTGCAGTTACATACAGATAAAAAAAATCAGACGTACGTAATAATAGACTCCAAATTATGATCTTCATGATCTTGATAAGAAACTCTAATATTTAGAGTTCCCTGATACCGTTTTTCTTCCCCTTCTTCCAAATCAGGTTTTGAATTGTTTCTTTTCATTTTTCTGGTACTAATCCATGTTATGAGAGTTCTATATTAGTTTATAAATCACTTAATTATAACAATACTAGATTTAACTTATTCTTCTATAATAAGCTTTCTTATCCTTTTTGTCATCTAATATATAATACTTCTTAGTATAAAATATAATTAACTGTATTTCCATTATTTAGAGAAAATCACTATTAATGTTTTAGTGAATATCCCATCTCAGAAGTACTTTCTCTTTAACTAACTTCCTCCTTTCCTCTATTCCTTCCTTCCTCTCTCTTCTTTCTTTCTTTCTTTCTTTCTTTCTTTCTTTCTTTCTTTCTTTCTTTCTTTCTTTCTTTCTTTTCTTTCTCTCTCTCTCTCTTTCTTTCTTTCCTTTCTTTCTCTCTCTCTCTCTATATATATATCTATCTGTCTATATCTATCTATCTATCTATCTATCTATCTATCTATCTATCTATCTATCTATCTATGTCATGACCATACATCCTTAATTCATTGACTAGAGGGACTGGTGAATGAGTATGTCATTACTTATTTAACCAATTCTTGTGGCTACAAATATAGGCTATCTACATTGTTGCTATTATAAATAGCACTGCAATGAACAGTTTTATAGAGAATTTTTGTACACATGGTCATTTATCTTTTGAGCACAAATTCCGGTCTAATTGAATGGGCATTCAAAAATGCCATGTATATTGCCAAGTATCCTTCAGAAAGATTGTGCCAGTTTGTACTACCACCAGAGATATCTGTCTTTCCATATTCTGTAGCCACTAATAGTGGTATTAGCAATATGTCTAATTTTTGCCAATCTGATGGTTAAAAAGTTATAATTTGTATTTCTTTGATTAATAGAGAGGCTGAACATATGTCTAAATATTTTCAGTTTGTATTCTTTCTCTTATGTCTTACGTCTTCATAACCTTTGCCCATGTTTACTAAGGTGATCATCATTTCTGGTTGATATGATACTTTATTTCTTAAGAGAAACATAATTATTTCTAATTTTTCTTAGTGAAATAATCATTTACTCCATTGTGAATTCTCTTTATTTGCTAAGTCAGTTGATCAGCTTTGTGGTTCTGGATTGAGAACCATTAGTTTTATAACCCTGTTTTAGACTCAGCTCCCGGATTTCTCTTTGGTTTGGTTAATCACACACATAGTTTAAAGAGTCTAACTGTTCTATAAGCCTAATTATTAGTATAAAAGATTCCCATTCTCTCTCTCAACTCTTTGCCTTCCAAAGGTCACTGCTTTCAAGATTTTTAATATTTTTATGTGATTTATTTTTACTGTTTGGCCTTTGCCTCAGTATTTCTAAGTACTAAACTTATAAGGTATTTTCCTATGTTTTTTTGCTTTTAGATATATTATTAGTTTCTAACTTCAATGTCTCTCACTGCCTTCCTTCCCCCACCATATACTGACACTTTCTGTCATTCCATTTTTCCATTATTAGTTTATATAAATATGATTACATGATATTACTTAGAAATGAGTGAATTAGAACACTGGTTACTTCTCAGTTCTTGGAGAGCTCGTTCTTTTCCCTATACTTAATAAGTGTCTTTTTAAAAAGCATTTGTTTACATTTTTATGTATGTATCATTAATTCAACCCCTTATTTCTCTCCTGGTTGTTTACTTCTTCCATAAAATCTATCACATTAGGTATTCTTAGATTTTATTTTATGGATTCTGACAGGCTACCATTCGGACAAACTGCTTTTAAAGTTTGCTGCAACTGTTATCTTTAGCTTTTCCTTCACTATCATCTTGGGTACCCCAAACATTTCTCTCTTGTGCTGAAGCATTCACTTGCTGGATCTTTTCTTCCTCCTTTTTCAGTTCTCAATTTTTTTTTTAATTCACTTAGTTCATTTCATTGAAGTATATCTTCCAGCAGCTTTCTGAGAAATGTTGTGCATTAGGAAAGTGTTTTGAGACCTTTCTTGTCAGTGTGTTTTTATTCCAGCCTGAAACTTACGTGATAACTTGGCTGGCTATTGTATTCTACATTGGAAATCAATTGTTACTGAGAATTTTGAAGGTAATATGCAGTAATCTTCTGGCTTCCAATATTATTATTGAAGAGTCCAATGGAAATCTGAATTTTTTAGTGTTTATTTATTTTTGAGAGAGAGAGTGAGCAGGGAAAGGGCAGAGAGAGAGAGGGAGACAGAGAATCTAAAGCAGGCTCCGTGCTATCAGCACAATGCCTGACATGGGGCTCGAACCCACAAACTGTGAGATCATGACCTGAGCCAAAGTCAGATGCTCAACTGACTGAGCCACCCAGGAGCCCCTGACTTTTTGATAGTTTTGTACAGAATTATTTTTCCTCTTAGGAAACTTGTAGAATTTACTATTAATCTCTGGTGTTGTGAAATTCCATGATGATGTGCCTTTGTGGTGACCTATTTTCATGCATTTTGCTGAGTATTCAATGGGTCCTTGCAAGCTAGAATCTCATGTCCTTCGGGTGAATATCTATTATGCATGTTACATGTAATTTTCTCCATTCATCATTTTTCTTTTAACTTAATTTAGGGTATATTTTGCTAGTAGAGGTTTTCAACTTATCTAGCTTTGGTTTGATCCTTTAGAAGTTCTTCCCACTCCAAGAGCATAGAAACATTAATGTAACTGTTTGTCAGTATTTTTTAGTGTCTTTCTCTACCCAATTTCTCCGTTATAATTTAGCCTAAAATATTTTTTTTAAGTCTTCAGTAGGAGGCAATTTCATTAATCTTTTTTTTGCTTAGTGGAATAGTTATGCCAACATCCTTTACTGGAAAATCCACCATCTTGCCAGGCTGTGAAATCCTACCCTTATCCTACGTTTGGATCTACTGTAGACTCTCTATCTTGAGGGTGTTTCCTGATAAATTAAAAAATTTATGACTTTATTTTGTATAATGTCTCAAGTTAGAAATATGCATTAGAAATTAGAATAGTCATTTGAAACCAACAATATCCTAGCTAAAATGCTGCTTCTTACTTATATTACTATTATGATACTTTAAATGACCTTGTCAATCACGAAACGTCTGTTTTCCTGTGGGGGAAAAGTGATTCTTACCCATTGCAGGGGTGGCAAGGGTTTGGCGGCCAACAAGCTGAGCTGGTCCCAGTCCATCAAGAAAATCACTGAATTGACTGTCTGCTCCTAGTCGTACTCCAGGAAATATTAAGCTATTAGCAAAAGTACAAAAATCAAAGCATTAGATCTCCTAGAATTCATTTCATTAGTGTCCATCTGACTACTAATTCTGATCATGAATCATAAACATTGGATAGTTTACTTAGTGATTCTATGCATTCATTGCCTCTGAACCAAGCAAAGCTCAGCACTAATTAAGAAAAGGTCTAAATAAACTCTCAAGTTAAGAACTGATGTTCTATTCAGGAGGGCTTAGGTTATAGTTCTTAATATAATAAGTTTTCTGGACACTTACAAACACAAGTTCCTACATAAGTATATTATTGACATAAAATATAAGATGCAAATATTTATATGATGAACTTTACATAAATAATTGCTCATGAACATTAAGAAACCATGCTCAACTTTAAAAAAATGCCTGATAATTTCTTCAATAAATACCAAAGTTCAAATTCTTATTTACAAATAAAAATATTTAATGTATTCATTTTTTAATGAACTACATTTTTATATTATCTGAGATTTTTATTTAGGTCAAGTAGAAAAGAATTGATTAGAATACATCTGTTTCTTACTACCCACGACTACCTGAACTCCCTGGGCTGTAAGCTCCAGCAGAGAGTAACTGTGCCCTTTTGTTTACTGATGTATCCATGTACCAAGAACCATGGTTGCTAAATATTTGGCCTTCAATGAGTAGTTTTTGATAAGCACATCTCTGTAGGGATTTATTATTTCCAATGTGCTTTCTCATATACTACCTCCTCACAATCAAGGAAATTAGAGAGGGCACAGACTGTTATCACATTCAGAGACCACGAAAATCAATCTATGAGAGGTTAAGTGGCTTATTCAGGTAAGTATTATTTGATTTATTAATTTTATATCACAAAATACTATCTCTAGTCTTTCATTTGTACACATTACAATATTTCATCAAATACTGATATTTTGTCAGCAAGTTTATTTCCATAACTTTCATGTCTGCTGATTTTTGCTCTTAACTATATGTTGCCAGGAGGATTCATACCAATCATTTGATCAAATAAACAGACTTAACAGTTCCAGGAATGGGTAAGCATATCATGATCATTAAGTTGGCATAATTTTATTTCATTTTCTAAACAGAATAAAACAATTCCAGTAAAGCAAAATAAATTATTACTATTAGATTGGTAAATGAGGTTTTTGAATGGCAATAAATGAATAATTATAGAAAAATTTCCACAGTCAATCCCCAAGGAACCCACTGCAGAATAATAATTACTTAATTGTTAAGATCTATCACCTCAGTAAAAGTTTGGTTTTACGAGAAAAATTCTCAAGCATAGAAAAATGCAGGATTTTTTTGCAGGATCTATATGTAAAAGCAGATCAAAAGTAAGTAAAATACAAATCTAGCTATATTTTTTCAAAGTTATTTTATTTTATTTTTTCTTTAATGTATCTTATTTTGTTTAATCCTCATAACAACCATCTGTGACAATTATCATTTTCCCTATCATATGGAAGCAAATTTAATGAATTTTAAAACTAACTAAAACTGTTTAATCACAAAGATAGTAAGGAAGATGAATTTTGGGCTCTTTTCCTAAGGTTGAAAAAAAGTGATGTTTTAAAAACAAAAAAATTTAAGTTCCTATTATGAGAGTAAGTCCTATTAGACTTACTCAGAACCCAAAATAGTTTGGAGAAAAGTAGGAATGTGGAATATTAATTGTTTTAAATGTTTATTTATTTTGAGAGAGAGCCTGAGTGGGGTAGGGACAGAGGAAGAGAAAGAGAGAGAATCCCAAGCAGGCTCCATGCTCAGTAGGGAGCCCAATGTGGGGCTTGATCTCACGACCCAGGGATCATAACCTGAACCAAAACCAAGAGTCTGATTTTTAATTGAGGGGTGCCTGGCTGGCTCAGTCAGTTAAGCATTCAACTCTTGGTTTCAGCTCAGGTGATGATATTGTGGTTTTGTGAGTTTGAGTCCCACATGGGGCTCTGTGCTGGCTTGGGATTCTCTCTCTCCCTCTTCTCCTGCCCCTACCCCACTTACACTGTCTCTGTCTCTCTCAAATAAATAAACTTCAAAAAAAATCATAATAAAAATAAATTTTAATTCAGATTCTGGTGAGTGAGCCAGACAATGAGTTTCCCCATATGAAATAACCCATTAAATGTAGCATTTCTACAATAAACATCCAGTAATGGACTATTATGAGCTTTTCTGGATTGATGGAGATCAGTTTATTTATGTTTAACAGGCTTCTCTTCCTACCTTTGAAAGGTCTGAGTGACCAAGTGCTGAGGTGTGTCCATGTGTAGGTATCATAAGAGGTAAGGCTGTTTTAAAATAGAGGGTTGATCTTCTAGTTAAATAAATAAGCTGTGGGGTGTGTGGGTAGCTCAGTTGGTTAAGCATCTGATTCTTGATTTTGGCTCAGGTCATGATCTCACGGTTTGTGGGACCAAGCCCTACATGGGGCTCTGTACTGACAGTACTGAACCTGCTTGGGATTCTCTCTCTCCCTCTCTCTGCCCCTCTGCCCTCCCTCTGACAATAAAATAAATAAACATTAAAAAAGTAAGGTGCACCATAACCATTGGTGGCTTTGTTTTACCTGTGACTAAAAACCCATGGTTTTTAATCCATACAGATGTGCTGACATCACTTACTTTCCCTCGGAGCTATAACTGTTGATGCTGCCGTCAGTAGACTCTCGACTTGGTTGCCTTACCATCTTCCTCATTTCAGCTGCCATTCCTGTTTCTGTGCTTCTTTGTATGGTGCTTTTTAACTTCTTGTGGCCTGACTCTGACAAGAGAAAATACAAGAAACTCTAAGTCTTGTTTAGACAATTTCTCCCTGAATACTGGTTGATTCTGCAAATTAAACAATTATGCATATAATTAAAAGTTTACTCAGGAAAAGAGTCTAAGAGAATAATCAGATTAGCTAAATCTCTTTGCCAACAACATTCTTTGGCCAAGAGGGGTAGCAGTGGAAGGGACACCACTGTTCTGTTCCAGAGACTACCTGAATCTCAGTGAACCAAAATGAACTCACTGCATTATTGCTGCTCAAGTTAACCACTTCAGTGAAAAGTTGGATTTGGTACTGCACTGCATTATGGGGAAATATAATGCGGAACAACCAAAAAGGAACACTCCCAATCTGGAATGTTCCAAATGTGTGGGAACAGAACTAAATGAATGGGTCTTGTCCTTTAAAGGAGAACAAGGCACAGGGAACTCATACCAGTTTTGGCCATGTATTAGCAATCCTATAAAAAGAACTGTTTGTTTAATGATTTTTGAAACACATTGACATACATGATCTCATTTGAGATGGCATATAAGGATACCTATGTAGGTAGAACAGGTATTAACTTCAAGTCTTTATAGCTATCTCCTGGCTTTTGGACTGAACTGAATGACTTCTTACTGGCAGTTTTGAGTGTCTCTTTTTGCATTATGAATTATAATGGCTGATAATTTTCTTAAACTCTAAGTTCATGGCAACTTCTTCAAGCCACTTTGAAATGCACTAACCAGCAGTCTATTCTTACCATAGAAACGAAATTCGAAAACATTTATTTGGTTAGAACAATACCAAAAGGTTAGACAGACTTTTAATACCTGCCACACTTTTTCCATTTACACATTTGATATGTATTTCAGGTTTTCTTTCAGGTTTTCACATAGTATCATTTAATGCCCATTAATATATGAAAAAATGTTCTATCTGTATAACCATATACATTAAGTACTATATTTGTATAGACACATAAACTCTACAACCCTCACAAAACCTCTGTGAAGCAAGTGCCCCAAAACACTCCTAGACAAACCATATGGAAAATTGCATGTTTTCCTCTCATTTTTGGTCACTGCAATTCTTTTATAGATTGTCTAAAATATATAATTGGTCTTACTATATGGACTTAATGCTGAATATTCTCTACATAAAAGCCACAGCAGTTTCTTAAAAACACAAATTTGAATATATTATTCCTTGCTCAAGATCTTATGGTTTATCATCAAAATTAAAAGAAAAATCTGAAATTATTACAATGGTCTATAAAATGCCACATAATCTGGCCCCTGGCTACCTCTCCAATCTCACACTCTGCCTCTGCTCCCCATGATCATTGCTCTCCAGTCACATGGTCTTCCTGCATTTTCTTGAATACTCCAAGCATGCTGCTTCAGGGTCTGTTTTCCTTAATGTCTTTCCCTTCTGATTTTCTTGCTGTGCTCCCTCACTTTATTCAGGTCTCTGTGTCGATGTCACCTCCTCAGTGAGGCTTTATCTGGTCCTCACCACTTTTTAATCTTCTTGCCATACTTTATGTCTTCATAGTGCTGCTCTGCCATTAAACTTCTATTTGTTTGTTTGTTGTCTGTTCCTCAATTAGAATTTAAGCTCTATAAGGAGAGGAACATTGTGAATATTGCTCACTGTTATCCATAGTATCTAGAAAACTGGTATAAACTCAATATCAGCATCACACCACACCGAGTAATGTGCAATTTCCGCATTCCATTTAACTATAGTACAAACATGTCTATATTTATTCTTTTTAATGGCTGCACTGTATTGTGATATCATAATTAAACCATGTCCTTATTGATGAGCACTTGGGATGTTTCCAGTTGTAATAGGAGAGTTTTTACAGAACATATTTCTAGGAGCTGAATGCTAGTGAAGGGGTACAAATCTGTTTAATCTTAATAGCTTTTTATAAATTGCCATTTAAAACATTATAGTAATTTAAATCATTGCTACCAACATTCATATGGATGTACCTATTTTGCCCCCTAAGGCTCATAAATTCTCTACCTTTCCCCTTTCTAGTCTCTGTCTTGCCTACATGACTTGTCATTGTAGAATTTGTACACTTACTGAAGGCAGTGACTTCATTTATTGACATTCTAGTGCTGTTTTTATTTATTTACATATTGATTTATTTATATACTCTGCCTCCTTTTCAGATGTAGTTCCCTTGTGAACTATGGCCGAGCAACACTTCATTCATACACACATATGGCTGGATCCCACCTGAGGGGTAAAGGCAAGAGTCCCAAGGCTGTATTACCAAACTGAGCCAAGTAGAGTTATGCAAATGTTTACCCAAACCAGCAGGAGGCAATAAACCTGGGGTGGAACACCAAATTCTCATTGAGAACAAGTACTATCATGGCTAGAAAAATGAGAGCAAACTTTACATCTAAATGGTGAGGTGATGCTGGAAACTAGAGGAGAAACAGTGAAGAGGATCAGTAGTGGGGAAGTTCAGGTTATTCGCTCATTCAGTTTTTCATTTATCCATCCATCCATCCACATCCATCCATCCATCCATCCATCCATCTATCCAACAAGTATTTACTAGGCTCCTACTATGTGTCATTCACTGCTCTTGGTGCTGGGGATATACTGATGAATGACAAATTTCCTGCTATCATTGAGCTTACATTCTAGCGTACATGTGTACACAAGCAAGGCAATGAACAAATAAACAAATAAATATATGCCTGGTAATAGGTGCTATGGAAAAAAAAGGCAGGATAAGGGGGATTAAAGGGTGACAGGGTAGAGCAGCAATGGCTTTATTATAAAGGGGTCAGGGCCTCGTTAGTCATCAGTATGGAGGATGACGATATAGGCAGTGAGGGAACAGGAAAGTAATCCCCATGGTGGGACTGGTCCTGGTGACTGTGGTTGCTGTGACAGGGAGCCTTTGAGTAATGTTGGTCAGGAGGGGGCCGTTGTCTTCCCAGTAGCACACAGGTTCCCTCTGCAGTCTTTCCAATGTTGTTGACCCTGACCAAGAGGCTCCTGCACCAGAGATCTCAGGGCTTGGTGTACAGCTGGAAGTGCAGGTGACACTGGACGGCAGGCTATCAGGTGGGCAATCATTTCCTAACACAGGTTTCAAACGGTTGTCACTTATTACATATTTGTTCAATGAATGAAAAAAAATTAAAAGTGAAGTCTACTAATTTGTTTGTACTATGTAATTGGAATATCAGATATTCTTAAAGAAGGGTTTATTTACAGGGTGTCTTAACTTTCTTAGAGCAATTTTTAAAACTTAATAGCTTCCAAACTGTAAATGCTGCATACTTTGAGGAAACATTTGAGAAGTTGGTTATTGAACTTCCTTTTACACTTATTTCATTTTATGACTTTGAATAATACACTGTTAATTTTAAAGTTTTTGTTTTAGTCCTTTTGAAGATAGCAAATATGGGCTGATATCTAGCTCTTGTCTTATTCATGTTAATAAATATTCATTGAAAAGAGTCTTGATGAACTAGACAATTTTATAAAGGCCCAGGTAAAAACTGAGTAAACAGGTCCAGCTATGAATCTGTCTTACTTAAATTCATAACAGCTTTAATATTATTTAGAATACAAGGGTTGGAAAGAACATTGTTTTGTAGATGTGGAAACTAATTTTGGAGAAGTATAATTCATGTAACAAATTATTTGTTCAGCTATTATGCTGAGTCCAGCCTTTTCCAGATGCTGGTGACACAGGAATGAACATAACAGACAAAAGTCCCTGCCCTAAAGGAACTTCCATTCTAGTGAGTATAATGATTTGCTCAATGTCAGGCTGGATTAGATCTTCTGAATCTCAAGTCTTGTGATCATTCCTTTATACTCCAGTTTAGGAAAACACAAAGTCTAATCTTATTCATTTCATGAACAGAACAATGGTTTAGCTACACATATATTTTCATGTACACATTCTCATACTTAAAAACTTCATTAAAACCACCAAATTTCTATACAGGTGCAAATGTATACAATTATCTGTATCTCTGTATATATGTTGTAATTATAGCATAGGTATACGTTACATATACATGATTTTAAAATATCAATATAATGCATTAAACCACTAAATAAAATTCTCATTATTCACCAATTATTTGTATCCACTGAGGAATCATTAGCCTGGTGAAAATATGAAGTCTCGTATCAAATTATGACACGAAGCCTTTGACTTGAAACTGCTATCCCAAGTATTACACAAAGAACAAACAGATTACAAAACTATTTTAATACTCTATATTCACAAACACATGAAAAATTAGTAAAATCTATATCATTTGGGAGTAATTATTTTCTCTTGCTTTGAAGAAGAAATGTTCTCTCAAAGAATGTTGAAAAATGTGTCAAATTTACATATTCATTATTTCTCTTTTCATATTAAAAGATGTATGCTATATTTAGAAACACCCCACTGACTTATTAATTTATTCTGTAAATACTCATGAAGCAGCAAGTATCTATAATCTAATAGGCATTTTTCTATGTGTTATAGCTATAACAGTAACAAGACCAGATAGTGCATATAATAAACAAACACAAATATAATTTTAGAATTGGTAATCATCATAAAAAATAAAGCAGAAGAAACTGTTCCAGTAGATGAGTTACTTTTGATCAGCTGGGCAGAGAAGCCCACTTCTGAGAATGCAAAATAGGAGCCAGCCATGCAAAGATCTAAAGGAGGTGTTATCTAGGGAGAAAGAACAAGTGCAAGACCCTGAGGAGTGAGTGACCTTCCTTGGCTCGTCTGAGGAAGCTACAGAATACTGAAGTAAGATGGACAAGGAGAAGATGGAGTGTAAGAGGCTGCAGGACTAGTGGGGTACAACCTACTGGAAAATAGCCTGGAATCTGCGCTGAGTGTGGGGGGAAGTCATAGAACAGGGCATCTGATTTACATTTTCAATGGATCATTCCAGCTATGGTGTGAAGAATGAATTGTAGGAACTAGACATGCAAGGAGAGGCGGA